TTCCTTTATGTTTGTTATTGACTGTTTTATGTATTTGGCTGTGCCCCTGTTGGGTGCATAAATATTTACAATTGTTATATCTTCTTATTGGATTGTTCCCTTTAATATTATATTGCATCCTTGTTTGTCTCTTGTAATGGTCTTTGTTTTAAAGTCTAGTGTTTCCAATATAAGCATTTCTACTCAGGCTTTCTTTTGACATTCATTTGCATGATAGATGGTTCTCCATCCCCTCACTTTCAATCTGAAGATGTCTTTAGGCCTAAAATGAGTCTCCTGTAGGCAACATATAGATAGGTCTTGTTTTTTTTAACCACTCTGTCACCCTATATCTTTTTTACTTTTTAAGATTTTATTTATTTATTTGACAGAGAGAGACACAGCAAGAGAGGGAACACAAGCAGGGGAAGTGGGAGAGGGAGAAGCAGGCTTCCCGCTGAGCGGGGAGCCCGATGCGGGGCTCGATCCCAGGATCCTGGGATCATGACCTGAGCCGAAGGCAGACGCTTAACTGACTGAGTCACCCAGGCACCCCACCCTATGTCTTTTGATTGGGGCATTTAGTCCACTTACATTCAAAGTAATTATTGATAGATATGTATTTATTATCATTTATTATTTGTTTTGTGGTTGTTTCTGAAGATTTTCTCTGATCCTTTCTGGTTTTCTCTCTTTCATGGTTTGCTTGTTGTCTTTACTGATATATCTGGATTTCTTTCTCCTTATTCTTTGCATGTTTATTACAGATTTTTGATATATGGTTACCATTAGGTGTGTATATAACCTTTTCTGCCTACAGCAGTCTATGTTAAGTTGATCGTGATTTAAGTTTGAACCCATTCTTTACTCATCTCCTCCCTACATTTTAGGTATATATTGTCATATTTTACATCCTTTTTTTGTGAGTTCTTTGATTTTTTACAGAAATATTCATTTTTACTGCTTTTGTGTTTCCTCCCTGCATCTCTTCTCTCCTTTCCACTCAAAGAGTCCCCTCTAATATTTCCTGCAGGGCTGGGTTAGTGGTCATGAACTCCTTTAATTTTTGGTTGTCCGGGAAACTTTATTTCTCCGATTCTGAGTGATAGCCTTGCTGGATAGAGGATTCTTGGCTGCAAATTTTTCCCATTCAGCACTTTGAATATTTATAATGCCACTCTCTTCTTGTTTGGGAAGTTTATGCTAAAAAAAAAAATCCCCTGCTAGCCTTATGGGTTTTCCATTATAAGTTACTGTCTTCTTTTGTCTTGTGCTTTCAAATATTTTTTCTTTATCACTGTATTTTGCCAATTTGATTATAATATATCTTGGTTTAACCAAGATATATTATAATTAAACCTCCAGATCCAGGAGGTTCTCTGCACCTCCTGGATCTGGATGTCTATTTCCTTCTACAGATTTGGGAAATTTTCTGCTCTTATTTCTTCAAATTTTTTGCCCCCTTTTCTCTCTTCTTCTTCTGGAACTCCTATAATATGAATATTATAACATTCGATGGAGTCAATGAGTTCCCTAAGTCTATTCTCTTGTATAATTCTTTTTTCTTTTTCCTTTTTTTTTTTAAGATTTTATTTATTTATTTGAGAAAGAGAGTGAGATTGAACACAAGCCAGGAGAAAGGCAGAGGGAGAGGGAGAGGGAGAAGCTGACTCCCCGCTGAGCAGGGAGCCCAAGATGGACCTCAATCCCAGGACCCTGGGATCATGACCTGAGCCAAAGTCAGACACTTAACCATCTGAGCCACCCAGGTGTCCCTTTTTTCTCTCTTTTGTTCAGGTTGATGACTTTCCATTATTCTGTCTTCTAGGTCATTAATTCATTCCTCCGCTTCTTCTAGCCTGGTGTTCATTCCATTAAGTGTGTTTCTCAGGGTGCCTGGGTGGCTCAGTTGGTTAAGTGACTGCCTTCAGCTCAGGTCATGATCCCACAGTCCTGGGATCAAGGCCCATGTCGGGCTCCTTGCTCAACGGGGAACCTGCTTCTCCCTCTCCTTCTACCTGCTACTCCACCTGCTTGTGCTCTCTCTCTCTCAAATAAATTTTTAAAAAGTGTGTTTCTCATTTCATTTATTGAGCCCATTATCTTTCCTATGTTATTCCTTATCTCTGTGTTAAGAGTCTCACTCATGTCTTCTAGTCTTTTCTCAAGTCCAGTGAGTATACTTATGATCATTGCTTTAAATATTCCATCAGGCATGTTACTTCTATCTCTTTCACTTACATCTCTGGTTGTGGCCTTGTCCTGCTCTTTTGTTTGGGATGAATTTCTGTCTTCTAATTTTGTCTAAGTCTCTGAACATGTTTCTCTGTGTTAGGAAATTTAGCTACACCTCCTAGAGTTAATGCTCTTATGAAGAAATCCTATAGTGCCCTGCCATGTAGTATCCACCGTTCCCCAGGGTCTGGTGCTTCTGAGATTGTCTCCAGTGTGTGCTGCATGTGCTCTCCTCTTTTGTCCTGGCTCTCCTCTTGTCTGCAGAGGCTCTCTTTGCCTGTTGTGGGCAGTGTTTGGTCCCTGGCCTGAATGTGGTGCATTTTGATTAGGTATGCTCTAGTCTGCTTGTGAAATAAGACTGGTCACCACTGCCAGTAGAACCGAGGCTTTGCAAAACTCCTGGGTTGGGAGATGTGCTGGGAGATGTGTTGTGAGCAGGAGTCTGGTCTGGTCTTCTGGGTGAGGGGCCCACAGCACTGGGACTATGACAAGAGAGACTGGGAAGGGCAGTTCCACCAGAGTGTGGGGGTGGGGGGACTTGGTGTCAGCAATTTAGGTAGTGAGTGTGGATGCTCTGCTGGTTCCCACAGGTGACCCTGTGCTTATGCTGAGGAGTTGGGGAGGGAAATGGTGCTGGTCAGTTCCTTTGTTCCCAGAGGGTCTCTCCATGAATGCTGCCTCTCTGGGACATGCTACAAAATGAGCAAATAACCTCTCCAGTGGGTGCCCTAGGCATTCTTAACATCCCTGTTTCCATGCTGTATGTCCACATGTTGTTTGCCTGCCTTCTCTCTAAGAGTAGTGCAGTACCCTCTGGGCTCTATCCCAGCCAAGCTTGCTGACCCTTAAAACCAGTCATGGGGCACCTGGGTGGCTCAGTCAGTTAAGCATCTGCCTTCAGCTCAGGTCATGATCCCAGGGTCCTGGGATTAAGCCCCATGTCAGGCTTTCTGCTCAGCAAGGAATCTGCTTCTCTCTCTCCCTCTGCCCCTCCCCCCACTTGGTCTTCCTCTAGCTTGCTCTCTCTCAAATAAATAAAATCTTAAAAAAAAAAAAAAAAAAAACCCAGGCTTTAAGCCCCACTGGTTGCTAGAAGTCATAAAATTTGGCCCCACTTGCTTTCCAAGCCAATTGCTATGGCGATTCATTTTCCCCATGCTTCCCTGTATGTTAGTCTATCTTTCATCCTTCTCTGTGAGCATGGCTCTCTCCCCACCACAGCGGCCATGATCCATTTCTCTCCCAAACTGTGTCTCCACACTTCCTACCTTCTTCCATTTGACCTCTTATCTACCTTTAGCTGTAGAGTTTGTTCTCAGTCTTCAGGTCAGTTTTTTGTAAATGGCAAATTTCATACAGTGCTGGAGAGATTGTATATTGTGACCAAATATTTAAAGTACATTTTGGCAAACACATGTTTTTTGTTTATTTCTTTGTTTTTATTATGTTCAATTAGCCAACATATAGTACATCATTAGTTTTTGATGTAGTGTTCAACGATTCATGAGTTGCATATAACACCCAGTGCTCATCACATCACATGCCCTCCTTAAAACCCATCACCCAGTTACCCCATCCCCCACTCCCCTCCCTTCTGTAACTCTCAGTTTGTTTCCCAGAGTCTCTCATGATTTTTCTCCCTCTCTGATTTCTTCCCATTCAGGGGAGGTGGGTGGGGTGATGGGTGAAATATGTGACAAGGATCAAGAGTACACTCATCTTGTAATATACAGAATTGGTGAATCACTATACTGTGCATCTGAAACTAATATAACACTGTATGTTAACTATACTGGAATTAAAATTAAAATTAAAAAGCATAGTGTCTTGGGGCACCTGGGTGGCTCAGTCATTAAGTGTCTGCCTTCGGCTCAGGTCATGATTCCAGGGTCCTGGGATCAAGCCCCACATCTGGCTCCCAGCTAGTGGGGAGCCTGCTTCTCCCTCTCCCACTCCCCCTGCTTGTGTTCTCTTTCTCACTATGTCTCTCTCTGTCAAATAAATAAAATCTTAAAAAAAAAAAAGAAAAAAAAAGCATAGTGTCTTATCCTGGATTATCTGAATGGGCTCCAAATTCAATTACATATATCTTCATAAGAGAGGGAGGAGTTTACAGGTAGACACAGAGGGGATGGCCATGTGAACATGAAGCAGAGAGAGATGCAGCCACAAGCCAAGGAATGCTAACAGCCCCGAGAAACTGGAAGAGGCAAGGGAGAGATTGTCTCCCAGAGCCTCCAGAGGGAGTGTGGTCCTGCCGGCACCTTGATTTTGAACTTTTGGCCTTTAGAATTGACAGAAAAGATTTCGTTTTTAGAAGCCATCCAGTTAGTAGGCATTTATTATGGCAACCTTAGGAAATGAATACGTTTATCCTTATACCATTTTATTGATTCTCCTTTCCTTGCTATATGAATTTTATATCTCTATGGAGTTAACTCTATGGAGTTTCCAATTGAGATACTGTCTGATAGAGAAACATAAGACAATGAGCTCACAAGGGAAATCAAGAGTCAGCAGTCTTATTCTCTAACATTATATAATATCCACAGGTATGCAGTTTTCATACATTAATGACCACTGAGGGCCAGAAGATGCTCAAGAACATTCTGTAGCCAAAGTTTTCCCTTTGAGTTCATTCTTACAAAGGAGAATCAAGTCATGCACTTCAAGAATAAATACATGGAATTCAGACTAATACATTTTTTTCTGCTTTATTCCATAAGACACAGCAAGTGGTGATTTTGGAGGAGGAGGTCCTCCAACAAAGGTGATAGTGGTGATGATAGTTTACCACTTATTCTAGGTTAAGAAGTTGGAGAAGGAGGAGCAACTCCTTGGGGTAGAGATGGCACGGGTAGAGGTGGTGGTGGGCGTGGCCCTCCATCTGCCTGTGAATGTGGTGGAAGAGATCCTGAAATTTAAGGGCAATCTGAGGGCCCATGCTCCTGTAACATAAAGAATCCAATGTTTAAATGCTGCCAATAAAATATGTAGCAGATAACTCATAACAGTGGATGTTTGCGTTTTCTTATACATTCAAGGTGCTAAAAGCATTTTATCATGCTTTTCATTATTTATCACCATTTGAGGACTTAGCAGTATAGGCAAAAGACTTCTACAGATATTTGACCAACCCAAATGATGCAAAATTAGATTTCATGGTGAGAAAATACAAAGAAGAATTAATCTCCACAGCTTGGGCCTGTTAGACTAGTTGGTTCAAATATAGGTAATTAATATAAGGTCTCAAAATAGGGATGATTCCTATAAAGTCATGGTTTATTCCCCTTGGGAGCCAATTAGCTCTCAACAGAGTCTCTCTCACAGTGCCAATGACCTAGCTGTCGTCTAATAATGTAAGCAATAGCCATTTGCACAGTAATATGCTTATCAGAGTTTTTACATTTCTTATCCCTTTTGATCCTCATTATAACTTTGTAACATAGGTAGGGTAAGTTTCATCTCACTTCTTGTGGATGCAGAAACTGAGACTCCCAAGATTTAAGGGACTGAACAAAGTTCATGCAGTTAGTACGAAACATGATTAGGACTTGAATGCCGTTCTACACCCACCTAATTCAGCTCCCTTTCTTTTTTTTTTTTAAGATTTATTTATTTGAGGGGACAGCAGAGGGAGAGAATCTCAAGCAGACTCCCCACTGAGCATGGAGCCCCATGTGGGACTTGATCTCACAAGCCATGAGATCACGACCTGAGCCGAAACCAAGAGCTGTATGTGTAACCGACTGAGCCCCCCAGGTGCCCCTCAGCTCCCTTTCGACTACAGCAGGCTACCTCCTCATGAATGCATGTCATCTGTCACGAGCTGAGGACAAAACCTCGGGGGTGAAAAAAGAGTAACTGACTTCTCAGAGATATAAAAAGGGAAGGATAGGAAAAATAAATGTAGTGGAAAATTATAAAATATTATAGTGAAACAGAACGAACTTGGGAAAAGGCCACTAGATTGGGTTGTTTGGAGTTCGACATAAGCTTTTAGTAGAATGGTAAAAAGAGACAAATTTAAAAAACAAACACCTAGTGAGCATCTCCTCTGTTAAGATGCAGTCTTCACTTTCTGCATATTCCCTCCAAACATAAGCTGTCTTGAGGACCATTCTCAGCCAGCTGAGGAGTTTAGACATTCTTATGAAGATGTTAAGTATACACGGATGTTTTTGTCAAAGTGGATAGATCATGTTCATAGGTTATTAAACGATGGCCGAGAGGTCTACAAAGGACTTTGGGTAATCATGAAATTGAGGATTTTCTTTTTGAAAGGAATTATTGTGGACCCAGTTATTCACATCCTCATGACAATTTCCTCCCGAAAACAGTTTTGCTTGCATAATATATTCTGTCACAAAACGTTCAGTGTGGCTTAACAAACTGATGCCCGAGTCTCTTCCACATATGAACATGGTTTACGGTCTTAGAAAATCAAACCTGGGGCACCTGGGTGGCTCAGCCGTTAAGCATCTGCCTTCGGCTCAGGTCATGATCCTAGGGTCCTGGGATCAAGTCCCATGTTGGGCTCCCTGCTCCACAGGGAGCCTGCTTCTCCCTCTGCCTCTGCCTCTCTCTCTCTGTTTCTCATGAATAAATAAATAAAATCTTAAAAAATAAATAAATAAAATCAAACCGGTAGAGTTACGTAAACAAAAATGTTAATTTTGCCAGAAAGTCTACTGGTCACACATTCCTTCCATCTACCAAAATAATTTCCTGCCATAGAACTCACCGTGACATGACACAATATGATCTAGTTTTATTACCTGGGTTCACTGTTGCCAGGATTCTGTCCCAGGCTCTTTGATCCTTTTTTTTCTTTTTTTGCATCTGGGCTTAAACTTCAGTTCGGGCTCCGAATTCTTCATTTACCTGCAATGATCACCAGCATAAATGTACACTTAATCATATAGTTTTAAACAATATTATGTATGAAATACAGCATTACATTTCAGATCCTCAGTCACAATTATTTTCACGACAATTAAGGACCCATGTGGGGGTGCGGCTAGTGCTGCTGATGATAGTGGGTGTAGTGGGAGGAATGAAGAAATAGGTCTCCGACCAAAGACAGACAAACTCATTTCCATTTCTGGAAAAGGAGTTTTGCATGGTTTATCATGGACATCTTTACTATTTTAATTGTTATAGCCATCCCTACTTGAGTCCTGGAAAATGTCCCACCGTGGCTGATCCAAAACTTTTCTAGTCTATTTAAATTTCAACACCCACCCCCCAAGAGCCTTCATGGACAGTAAATGAACTTCCCAGAAGATGGAGGACCTCCAGTGTGAGATAGTTCAACTTGACTATTATTCATGTTAAGATTTCTCTGAATCCACACTCTCATCTCCAACCCCCCCCAAAGTTATCTTCTCCACGTCATTGGGTTTTTTTCCCCCAAGCTTGGTGCCTATACAAGTGCACTGTCCACAATTTCCTTTTTTATGTAAATAGTTCATTTGTACATTTTCAGAAAAGCACTGAATCTTTCTGCTCGTAATTTAAATTGGCTAAACATTCTGTAACCACACATAAAATCAGAATTACAGGGATGCCTGGGTGGCTCAGTGGGTTGGGCGTCTGCCTCTGGCTCAGGTTATGATCTCAGGGTCCTGGGATCGAGCCCCACATCAGGCTCCTTGCTCAGCGGGGAGCCTGCTTCTCCCTCTGCCTGCTGCCCCCCTTCTTGTGCTCTCTCTCTCAGACAAATAAATAAAATCCTTAAAAAAAATCGGAATCACACAAATCTGAAATACGTGAATGGAAGGGGCCTTATTAGAGTTCATTAATCTTACCCTCTCCTGTTAATGATGAAGAAATGAAAATCTGAGGAGTGTAAGTGACTTACTTGAAGCCACAGTCAATTAATAACAAAGCTGAGACTCCTTCTTAGGACTTCTTGTAATTATTTTATCTTGCCACTTTAAATGACTCAGAACAAGAGAAGCCAGACAAGCAGCTGGAAGAACACATATACTTTCGTTTTAATTTTAAATGTTGGTGATGAGAATAAATCATCAAACACTGAAATTTCTTTCTTTTTTTTAAAGATTTTATTTATTTATTAGACAGATAGAGACACAGCGAGAGAGGGAACACAAGCAGGAGGAGTGGGAGAGGGAGAAGCAGGCCTCCTGCTGAGCAGGGAGCCTGACATGGGGCTCCAACCCAGCACCCTGGGATCATGACCTGAGCTGAAGGCAGACGCTTAACGACTGAGCCACCCAGGCGCCCCTGAAATTTCTTTTTCTAAAAATTATTTTTCAGTGCTGTTTTTCTTAAAAATATGTGTTTTTAAAAGCTGTGACCGGGGCATCTCACTGGCTTAGTTGGTGGAGCATGCGACTCTTAGTCTCAGGGTTCTGAGTTTGAGTGCCACTTTGAGTATAGAGATTACTTAAAAAATAAAATCTTACAGAAAAGCTGTGACAGATAATCATCATTTGCTTATTGCTGACAATGCCAGCCCCAAATTAAGTTGACTCTAAGATTCTCAAAGGGAATTTTGAATGTGTTCCTTGAAACAATAACATTTGATGCATCAAGTTCTAATAAAAAGATCCAACTTCTTTCACCAATAAAACTGACAATTTCATACAAACGTTTTATACTCAAGCTCTTAAATTTATTCTACCAGCAGAAAAGCAAAGAAATCCTGAAGTAACTTCAGTGACACTCTAATTCCTGTTGATAGAAAACTGATTACCTCCAAGATAAGCCAAACTCTCAAAAGAGAGACCACATAAGCCCTTTATGTTGCTATCAGAGGCTGAAAACTAGAGACCTTTTACACTTGTGCTTCTTTCTTACACCAACAAGAGAGAAATACTATACTGAAGTTTCATAGGATTTAAGAGAAAAAGAAATGAAACTTTTGATAGAACCTAATGGTAGTTATGCTTTCAGGAGAGAAGCAAATCTAGATTTAAATCACATTAGCATAGTAATCAATCTGGCATTTGTTCTACCTACCACATTTATATAAGTCATTCACATGCAAAGAAAAGGCAAACTCAAATTCTAGCAAGTCTACATGAAGTAGCACTATCATTTAAAATTTTTTAAAGATTTCATTCATTCATTCATTCATTCATTTACAGTGCGAGCATGGGGAGGGGAAGAGGGAGAGAGAATCTCAAGCATGGAGTCAGACTCAGGGTTCTGTCTCAGGACCCCAAGATCATGACCTGAGCCAAAATCAAGAGTCGGTTGCTTAACCGACTGAGCCACCCAGGCGCCCTAAAATTTTTTAATTAAATATTTCAAGGAAACCAAGTAAGGTCACTCCAAGCAGGGAGAGAAAGAAGGAGAGATACACCATTTTGTTGCTATCAAGAGGAGTGACATTAGAGACCATGGCAGAGAGAACTAGGTTACTAGCTTGTAATTCCACAAAGAACCATCTGTTCAAAGGAAATGAAACCTGAAGGAATGCAATGCAGTTTAGCCACAAAGCAGGGCACATGCAACACCCCTGGAGCGCCTAGTTCTGGTGAACAAGGGACATTGCACTCCAGGGTGCTACAGGACCTCACCTCACAAGGCCATTACTTTCAAGATCAGGAAATGTAGTCGATTTTCCTAATACATAGAAACAGACACAATAAGGAGTCAGAGGAATATGTCCCAAATGAAAGAACAGGACAAAATCACGGCAAAAGCGCAAAATGCAATGGAATGAGAAATTCAGATAAATAAAAGCTGATGGGAGTTCATTACTATTAAATCTGCCCTGCCAGAATTGCTAAAGGAAATCCTTTAAGTTGAAATAAAAGGATTCTGGACTGTAACTTAAACCCATATGAAGATCTAAAGTTCTCCCATAAGGCTTTTCAGAAACCCCAAATCCTGGAAACAATTTGAATGTCCAGCAACAGGTGGATAAACAAAATATATCCATACGATGAAATACTCAACAATAAAAATGAATGAACCATTGATGAGGATACACCATGGATGAATCTTGAAAGTGCTGTGCTGTGTAAACAAAGCCAGAAACAAATGGATTATTGCTCTATGATTCCATGTATATGATTTTAAAAAAAGAACTATATGGACAGAAATTAGATCAGTAGTTGCCAAGGGCTGGAAGTAGAATGAGGTCACAGACTACAAAGGAACCTGAGAAGACTTTCTGGAGTCATAGAAATATTCCATATCTTGATTATGATAGTGGGTACATGATGACTAAATACCTTTGTCAAAACTCATACAATTTTGTACACTTTGAAAGTGAATTTTACAATAGATAAATTATACCTCAATAGAAATGAAGGTATATGAAATGAAAGTTCACACAGAGACCCACACACGTAGGTACCTAGCTTTATTTATAATGGCCAAAAGCTGGAAACACTCCAAATGTCCGTGAACAGATGAATGGACATATTATGGCATATCCATACAATGGAACACCACTTAGCAACAAAAGGAATGAATCATTGACACAAAGAGCATGGATGAATCTCACAACTATTCTGAGTTTAAAAGGCCAGGAAAAAAAAAAGTACATACTCTATGATTTCATTTATATAAAACTCCAGAAAATTCAAAATTTTGTATACTGATATACAGCAAATCAATGACTTTCAGGGGATGATAGGTACAGGGATGTGTAAGGGGAGAATAACCGAGGGGAAAAGGTAATTTCAGGGGATAGTGAATATGTTCCTTATGTTGATTTGGTGATATTATCACAGATGTGCATGTACATCAAAATTTATTTTTTTATTTAATTAATATATGTAATTTTTAATTATAAAGCTATGTATAAAAACTTCATATTTCATGGTTGGTAAGATTGTATCACGTATTTCTTAATTTTTTTTTAAGATTTTATTTATTTGACAGAGAGAGACACAGCGAGAGCAGGAACACAAGCAGGGAGAGTGGGAGAGGGAGAAGCAGGCTCCCCGCGGAGCAGGGAGCCCGATGCGGGGCTCGATCCCAGGACCCTGGGATCATGACCTGAGCCGAAGGCAGTCGCTTAACGACTGAGCCATCCAGGCGCCCCTGTATCATGTATTTCTTTAAGCACAAGCACTTGCCAGTTGACAAATGTTTTCCTTGTTTATAGTGCTTCACTATCATGCTACCGAAAAAAGAAATCAGTATCTGTCATTAAGTTTTAAATCCAGGGGCACCTGGGTGGCTCCATTGATTAAGCGGCTGTCTTTGGCTCAAGTCATGGTCCCAGGGTCCTGGGATCGAGCCCCGCATCGGGCTCCCTGCTCCGCGGGAAGCCTGCTTCTCCCTCTCCCGCTCCCCCTGTTTGTGTTCCCTCTCTCGCTGTCTCTGTCAAATAAACAAAATCTTAAAAAAAAAAGTTTTAAATCCATAAATATCAAGAACTGTATAACCAAAACAAAATTTCAAAGTGTCACGAAACAGAAAGGAGAGTATATGTAATGTAATTAAGTTATTAAGTAAAACAACTATATCAAATATTTAGTAAGCCCTACCTTTTTGAAAATGGCCACTGCTGTTGTTGGTCACTTTCCTCAACTTTTGCCTAGTCCACGAAGACTCTATTAAGGTTAAACACAAGCAATTAGAAATTATTGTATCATATCCCTCAGGCAAAAGGTGACTGCCAGTCTATTCTTCTATTCAGACTGTCATTTTTATGTCAATTGCCATTAAAGAGAAATTGACCTGGACCACACATAATGCATAAGCTACCACATACTGTTTCTTTAGCTGACTTACTGAGTTCAACAGTAGGCTTCTCAAGGACCATAACCAAGAATCCATGAACATATCTTGACCAAATTCTCACTACTTTTAAGGAATTCCAAATATTTTTAACTTTTATGATTATAGAATTCTATACAATTTCGTTCATAATTTCTTATGGTTGGAACTGTGCCAAAGACTCCATATTTACAATGATTAAATCTCAAAATACCCTTAAACCAAAAGCAGTGATAGGACATACAATGACACTCATTAATTCAGGATTCCTATGACAGATTTTAGTTAAATAACATTTGATCTAGGGAAGAAAGTATCAAATATATAAGAAAAAAATTTCTCAGGTGCACTCAAATACACCAGGTGCATGTTTTATAAATATATATGTAATTGCCTTAATGATAAATTATTCTTAGTTAAGCAGGAAATAAATATCTAAATAACCTCTTTGGAGCAACAGTGTAGTTTTCATTACTATATGTTCCAAAGGATTATAAAACATGATATAATGGATGTGTTCGTTATTTTGATTGTGGTGATCATTTCTCAGGTGTAACATATATCGATTTTATAAATTGTACACTTAATTTTTTTAAAGATTTTTTTATTTAATTGAGAGAGTATGTGCATGAGTGGGGGGAGGGGCAGAGGCAGAGGGAGAAGCAGACTCCCCGCTGAGCAGGGAGCTCAGGGAGTTCCATCCCAGGACCCTGGAATCAGGACCTGAGCCAAAGGCAAATGCATAACTGACTGAGCCACCCAGGCACCTCAAATTGTACACTTTAAATGGGGCAGTTTGTATTCTGTCAATTATACTTCTATTAATAAAACTTAAAAAAAAACCCCAAAAGTTGTGTGTTTGGGGCAAAGCAACCAAGGAAAAACCTGGTTAAGTAATCAGAGCAAAGACTGGTCTGATCCAGCGTTTTGTTGGCCATGCTTGGGAATTATTTTTATGGTGATTCCAAAGGGAATTCATTTGAGTTTTGGGCAAGGGGCCTATATGATTTGAGTGATGGAAGCCGCTAGAATCACAGATGAGTGAAAGTGGAAGAAGAGACATGGAGCTCCTTAAATCCAGGTGCTCTTAAGAATGATATCAGAGGTTTCCTTAAAGTTCCTAAAGTATCTGCAAATTTGTGTATGTATGTGTACATGTGCATTTCAATTTTTTTATTGAAGTATAATTGACATATGATGTTGTATTAGTTTCTCGTGTAACAACATATGGATTATACAATCCTATACATTACTCAGTGCTCACCATAAGTATAGTCACTGTCATGATACAACATTAATGCAGTATTATTGACTACATTTTCTATGCTGTACCTTTTTTTTAAAAGATTTTATTTATTTGAGAGAGAGCAGAGTGCAAGAGAGAACACATGAGTGGGGGTGAGGGGCAGAGGGAGAGGGAGAAGCAGACTCCCAGCTGAGCAGGGAGCCTGATGCGGAGCTCTATCCCAGGACCCTGGGACCATGACCTGAGCTGAAGGCAGATGCTTAACCAACTGAGCCACCCAGGCGCCCCTATGCTGTACTTTTTATCTCTGTGACTTATTTAGTAACGGGAAGCCTGTATCTTTTCATCCCTTTTATCTACTTTGCCCATCCCCTCATCCACCTCCCCTCTGGCAACTGCCAGTTCATCTCTGTATTTAAGAGTCTGTTTTTTTTTTTAATTTATTTGTGGTTTTTTTTTTTTATTTCACATATAAGTGAAATCATATGGTATTTGTCTTTCCCTGACTTATTTCACTTAGCACAATACCCTCTAGGTCCATCCAAGTTATTACAAATGGCAAGTTCTCATTCTTTTTATGGCTGAGCAAGTGTGTGATGTGTGTGTGTGTGTGTGTGTGTGTGTGTGTGTGTGTGTGTACACAGACACCACATATTCCTTATCCATTAATCTATTGATGGACACTTGGGTTGCTTCCATATTTTGGCTACTGTAAATAATGCTTCAATAAACATAGGGGTGAATATCTTTTGAATTAGGGTTTTCATTTTCTTTGGGTCAATACCCAGTAGTGGAATAACTGGATCATATGGTATTTCTATTTTTAATTTTCTGAGGAACCTCTATACTGTTTTCCATAGTGTTTGTACCAACTTACATTCCCACCAATAGTGTACAAGTGTTCCCTCTTTTCTCCACATCCTTGCCAACACTTGTTATTTGTTGTCTTTTTGATTTTAGCCATTCTGACAGGTGTGATGCTATATCTCCTTGTGGTTTTGATTTGCACTTCTCTCATGATTAGTGATTGCTACACCAAAATAAAAAGCTTTTGCACAGCAAAGGAAACCATCAACAAAACAAAAAGGCAGGGGCACCTGGGTGGCTCAGTTGTTAAGCGCCTGCCTTCGGCTCAGGTCATGGTCCCAGGCTCCTGGGATGGAGTCCCGCATTGGGCTCCCTGCTCAGTGGGAAGCCTGCTTCTCCCTCTCCCACTCTCCCTGCTTGTGTTCCCTCTCTCACTGTCTCTCTCTCTCTGTCAAATAAATAAAATCTTAAAAAAAAAAGGCAACCTACTGAATGAGAGAAGATATTTACAAATAATATAGCCAATAGGGGTTAATATCCAAAATATATAAAGAACTTATACAACTCAACACAGAAAAAAAATGAATCTGCTTAAAAAATGGACTGAGGACCTCAATGGACATTTTTCCAAAGAAGATATACAGATGGCCAAGAGACACGAAGATGCTCAATATGCATGTACTTTAAAATTAATTTCCACACTATTCATCAGATTCTTGGAAAGGTCCTTGAGCACGCATTTTTAAGAACTTTTCATTTAACTGCCCCACATATTCGTTGAAGATCAAAACCTGGAGAAGTAAAGAAATTTGTTCAAAATCAGAGCTAGCAGGTTGACGAGATCACAGGGGTGTTTGGGTCCTGCCTCCCCTCTCTCTCCACATGCTCTCCTCTCTCCCTGCTCCAGCTGCTGATTCACAGAGCTTAGGAACTGGCACATGGTACATGAAGCCGGTGTCTGCAGAACCCTGACCCGCTCACCACATCAGCAGGAGAGACTGTGCCAAGGATATGGTCCATAGGAGGTGATAAGCCAGTACAAACAGTCTCTTAGGACTCCTTCATCAAACTTGTAGAATGAGGGGCGCTTGGGTGACTCAGTGGGTTAAGTGTCTGCCTTTGGCTGAGGTCGTGATCCCAGGGTCCTGGGATCGAGTTCCTCATCAGGCTCCCTAATCAGTGGGGAGCCTGCTTCTCCCTCTGCCTGCCACTCCCCCTTCCTTGTGCTCTCTCGCTCACTTGCTCTCTCAAGTAAATAAAATCTTTTTAAGAACTTGCATAACGTTCTAAATCACCTACATGTGTGTTATTGTTAAAATCACCAAAGAACACATCATCATAATAAGCTACTCATCTTTCACTATTACTCTGAGCCTGCTCTGTGCCACAGACCGAAAGAAGAACATAGAATTGGCATTCACAAGTGTAGTTTTCGTCTTACAAAGAAATGACAAGCGAGTTCATGCTCGATTCTCCCCAACAGAGATTCTGATTATGTATAAATAAAACTGCTAACTAGAAAGCCCTCTAGCAGACTACATTTCACAAGGGAAGTTTCTTTTTAAAAAAAAAAACTTTTATTTATTTGAGACAGAGGAAGAGAGTGCACAAGCAGAGAGTGTTGCAGGCAGAGGGAGAAGCAGGCTTTCCCCTGAGCAGGGAGCTCGACTTGGGACTCTATCCCAGGAGCCTGGGATCACAACCTGAGCCAAAGGCAGACCCTTAACCAACTGAGCCACCCAGGTGCCCTCATAGAGGAAGTTTCAACATCATCCTTTCCCTCAGCAGTCCAGGGAGACAAACAGGATCACCTCAAATCTTTCCTAGTTCTAGGGTTAATGAAAGTATCAGGCTACTCCGACAGCTTTAGAAGGTATCAAGGTACTGAAATAACACCACCTTTCTTTGCTCCATCTTGAGCACTAAAAACCAAGCTATAATATTAATTGTTGTCTAATGTACACATGATTCCTACAAGACCTCCATGTCACCAGTATAAACTGGATTGAAACATTTCAGAAAATCATGCTTGTAAATATCAAGGGGATAAAACACAAGGTACAACTCACCATGAAACCAGCTCTAGTCACATCATGGCCAGATAGGTTAATATTTCCAATCCCCCAGGCTCATGATCTCTCATGATCA